GGCTTCAGCAGTATGTGGACCAAGAACTCCCAGAAGTATAAGCTGGATTTTGAAGGGGCAGAGGAACTAGAGACCAAATTGCTAACATGCGCTGGATTATGGAGAAAGCCAGAGGATTCCAGAAAAACATCTACTTCTGCTTCATTGACTGTGCAAAAGCCTTTGACTGTGTGGACCACAGCAAACTATCGAAAGTTCTTAAAGAAATGGGCGTGCCTGACCACCTTATCTGTCTCCTGAGAAACCTATATGTGGGACAGGAAGCAACAGTTAGAACTGGATATGGAGCAGCTGATTGGTTCAAAAGGGGGAAAGGAGGACGACAAGGCTGTATATTGTCTCCCTGCTTATTTAATTTTTATGCAGAATGCATCATGCAAAAGGCTGGACTGGATGAATCCCAAGCCGGAATTAAGATTGCCAGAAGAAACATCAACAACCTCCGATATGCTGATGATACCACTCTGATGATAGAAAGTGAGGAGGAATTAAAGAACCTCTTAATGAGGGTGAAAGAGGAAAGCGCAAAAAACGGTCTGAAGCTCAACATCAAAAAAACCAAGATCATGGCCACTGGTCCCATCACCTCCTGGGAAATAGAAGGGGAAGATATGGAGGCAGTGACAGAGTTTACCTTCTTGGGCTCCATGATCACCGCAGATGGTGACAGCAGCACAAAATTGAAATATGCCTGCTTCTTGGGAGGAAAGCAATGAAAAACCTAGACAGCATCTTAAAAAGCAGAGACATCACTGTACCAACAAAGATCTGCATAGTCAAAGCTATGGTTTTTCCAGTAGTGATATATGGTAGTGATAGCTGGACCATAAAGAAGTCTGACCGCTGAAGAATTTAAAAGCTTGAATTGTGGTGCTGGAGGAGACTCTTGAGAGAGGAGAAGGGGACAACAGAGGATGAAACGGTTGGACAGTGTCAGGGACACTACCAACATGAATTTGACCCAACTCTGGGAGGCTGTGGAAGACAGTAGGGCCTGGCATGCTCTGGTCCATGGGGTCATGAAGAGTTGGACACGATTAAATGACTAAACAACAAAAACAGGCCGCAATTGACTCAAAGAAGAGAAGATATTTGGCGGGGCAGAGGGGGGAGAAGAAATTTCCAATATTCTAGTAATTGAATATCACGCGAGGAGGATTTTATTGTTAAAGGTATATATTTGGATGGGTTTGTTTGTTTGTTTGTTTGTTTGTTTGTTTATGGGGTCCTTTGACCTGATAAGGGGACTCACGGCAGCTTTGGGGGGATAGTTTTGTTTGGCAGTAATTGGCAGTAATATTGTTTGCTTTTGTAGTAGATTGATTCTTCTGTTGCCAGCTTCTGAATGTTGGGACAGTTGTTATTGGTTCTTTATGGCTTCTTTAGACTAGCACAAAGAAAAAAGGTGAGCTAAAGTGAAACAAGCCAAAAGAGGCCACCCCCTATGTGCTAAATGAATGGACCAATACACAGTGAATGCAAAAATGAAAGATGCATTCCCCCCCCCCAAAAAAAACCATCAAATGAGATGAAACCACAAGTTTCTGCTGTCTATCCCTAGATGTAATGCTGAAGCAAACTGGAGGGATCACCAATTCTCATAGCCATATTGCTTCTTGGCCTGAAGCTGACAAGCAGACAGGCAGCAAAGAGTGCATGAGACTCTGGCTTAGTTACTGTATTTGCCGGTGTATAAGATGAATTTTTTGGCCCAAAAATCATGCCTCCAAGTGGGGGGGGTCATCTTATACGCTGGGTACACTTCAGTTGGGTCAGGAAGGAGCTGCTGCTGCCGCTGTTGAGCGAGTGACATGGGGCCACGTCGGCCGGGGAGGAAGGCAGGTGGGCAGGCGGGAGGGAAGCAGAGCCAGCCATGCCAGAGCAGGCAGAGCCTGCCGCCGAGCTGCCTGCCGCCCCGCCCCGCTGAGCCAGCTGCTCACTCATCTGCCCGCCGCCGGAGAGCCACTTCCCCCTCCTCCTCCTCCGCTGCTGCCGCCCGCCCGGCCACTTCCCCTCCTCCTCGCCCTCCTCCTCACCGGCCATAAACTTCCAGGGCGGCCCCGGGCAAAGCGCCAGGCAGCCACTGCCGGCGCCGCAGCAGAGCCGTCCACTCTATATTTTGAGTGAAAATGTTGGGGGGGTCGTCTTATATGCCCAGTCGTCTTGTACGCTGGCGAAAAGCAAGAAAATTTGTTCTTGCTTGTTCTTGCTTGTAACATGCCTCTTTAAATTGTAATGCTAACTAAATATGGAGTCCTG